TTCTGTAGATGAAGATTTTCACGAAATAGATATATTGATTTTACTCAAAAACTAGGAATTTCCAAGGTGGGTTGATCTGTCGCAAATGGAAGAGTTTTAGGGATATTAAGTCCGAATTTCAGCCAAGGAAATTAATTCTGGTTAAAATAAGAGCATTTTGAAACTTCACTTTCAAACTCGAAAACTTTACTACACGAGAAAATTAGTGATGGCTGATATGGGAATCTTCCCAACTGTTCCATTGACTGTCATGATTGTACTGAATGCCTTTTTTTAATAAACAATGATATATATATTTTTTGAAGTCCAGTGACCTATGGTTTTCCGAGTAAGGACTGTATAAATGTTCAAATGTTTATTTTAAAAAAGGCGATTTGTAGAGTACAAGACTTTTTTCAGCACCACAAATTTTGAAATGCGGTGTGTACAAAACTTACATTATTGTGGACATTCCAAAGGCAGAATATTAGTATAACAGTAGGTGAACCATGCCGACTTCAGTTACCTCTATCATGATCATGTTTTGTCGAAAGCATTTTTGATACCGCTGATGTTAACCCCAGTCTACTAACGTGACTGAGGAATTTCTTGTCAAAATCACTTCATTTTCAACAGCTTGGGCTGTATCCTTATCACTACACCCTCCAGTTCCTTCCACTTCTGCCAATAACTAGCAAATTTGCTCCATCTGGTTAAATGTAAAGTTGTCGATCCTGCTTTTTTTAAAGTGAGCAAGCAGCCAGCCTGTCATAGAAATTAATTCCCTACATGTGTCGTAAAGAAGTATGCACATGGCAGCGTTGACCCTGAGCACGAGCTTGAGGCTGTTGTTTAATTATCTTCTGTGTTGACGGGGCTCAAATTTCTGGAATAATCAGGGCCCAATTTTGGGGTGAGAATGCAACTTTTGATTTGGGGAAAATCTAGGGAGTGTTCAGCATGGTCAAAACTACATACAACCCAAAAATTAGGTTGCCTAAAATTTTTAAGTCAAACTTGAACGATACAGCCTTCAGCTGACGGCCTATGTTATCAAGTAATCAAGTAATATTGATGTAACGACGGACCCTAAAAGATGCATATTTCAAAATTCTAAATCTAGAACTACAAGTCTTATTGGGTTAAACTTAAGTTAGTATGTATATACAGGGACGTTTGAAGTGACATCATGATGACATCACCATATGATTTTATGTTGATTTTTCATTTTCACAAATGACACATGGTAATTCAAAATTCATTTTGTATAGGATTGTTAGGTCATAAATAAATGCACATATTTGGAAAAATGTCTGACATTTTCAGACAATATGTGAAGGTCTGATCATCAAGAAATTTGGTGGGTAGTTAGGTTATGTTACTGGTATGCAAAATCCAAATTGATGTCACTTTAATGAAAGTCATGTTATTTTCTACATGCAAACATTTGTGTTGAATGCAATGTTCTTAACTTAAAACAAGGCATGGACAAATATCCCATTGTATACCTGGTCCAAGACAAGTGATGTCATGATGATGTCATCAAAGGTACGTGATGTCAGCTTTAAAGTCCTATATCTAGAGAACCACATGTCTGATGGTGTTCAGTTTTTGGACAATTTATAGCAATGCATACGTAAAAACTAACAGATGTAGACCTCTAGTTTTTCTTCTAATTTCTTTCCTCTGTTTTTTCTACCCTAAATTCCATAGACTTTGTGCACAATTTGTTGTGTTATGTCCTAGCAAAGTTAATTTGTTACGTCATAGCAAAGATATGTCATATCAGTGATGTCTGATTGACGTAATTAGAAGTCATGAGGCTACCCTGAAAAATCATTTATTAAAGTCCTTTATACAACATCTGAATAAATCTCCGTCATCTGATTGGTGGATCGTTGATCACATGTCATTGAATTATTCGTACCAACGCACGGGGCGCGCGTGGCGCGCAGCGCACAGTGCAATGGAAGTTCTATTGCACGGTGAATAGAACTTCTATTGCACGGTGTCACTGCTGCTGGTGGTGGCGCTGTTTTAAATCGAGATAAATTGAATACGATTGTTCTCAACCTGTTGAACAGTTTGCATTAATATAATTATGATGAACTTGTCGAACTTTTGAACAGTTCTTAACCTGAAAAAATTGGCAATTAAAAGTCAACCAATCAGATGGCAAGGACTTATTCAGGTGTTATATAAAACAAATAATGAATGTTTACATCTAGTGAGCTTCTCCAATAGTCGGCGCCAAGTGTTAATAAAATATTTAACAAAATTATTTATATATATTTCATTATTTATCATAAATTCAAGCTTAGGCTTACTTATTTATATATAATGCATTATTTAAATATCATGAATTTCTTCTCCAACAATCATATATAATAAATGTTTGGCAGTTTGCATTATATGTAAATAAATTTATGTGCCACTGAATTATTTTCAAATATTTTTTTGCAACCTAATTATTTACATATAATCTGTCAACGTCATGTTATTATTTATATATAACTTTTTGGCAACAAAAGTATTTACAAATAATTTTTTTGCAATCTATAATTATTCATATATAATTTTTTTTGGCAACATAATTATTTACAAATACATTTTTGCAAACTAAAATTATTTATTATATAATTTTTTGGCAACATAATTATTTATTATATAATTTTTTGGCAACAAAATTATTTACAAATAATTGTTTGCAAACCATGATTATTTATTATAGCATTTTTTGGCAACATAATCATTAGTTATATAATTTTGTTGGCAACATGATTATTTACAAATGATTGTTTGCAAACTATTATTATTTATATATAATGTTTTGGCAATTTGTATTTAATTGACAGTTTCATTTATTATATAATTTTGCACCGCACGCATTATTTCTAAATAATTTGTTTGGTGCGAAGCGAACGAAGCTATGATTAATATATAATGGCTATGATTTATATATAATGGTTTTCTGAAATGAATAGTGAAACTCTTATGCAAATTACCTACACTAGGACATGCGTATATTGTATCATATAACTCTGTACATTGCGGGATTGCCGCACCGTGCTCGCTATAGAAAACATTCAGTATTGTGTATTTTGGGTCTGAATTATTTTAATTTGCACCGCAAAAGCTATTGAAATAACCCTCAAAATGTGATAAAACCTTGTCTCAATTCATGTTAACAGTATTCTAAGTCGATGATTCTTAAAAATCATGGAGAATTTTGGTATGCACAACGCTATACGATGGCTGGGCGCACTGTATAGATGCCATTATTCTTTTATTTATTAAAAACAACATATATATAAATAATAATAGTTTGCAAACGATTATTTGTAAATAATGATGTTGCCAAAAAAAATTATAGAATTAATCATTATAGTTTGCAAACAATTATTTGTAAAAAGTTATGTTGCCAAAAAATTATATAATAAATAATTATGTTGCCAAAAAAAAAAGGGAAAAATAATTATTGATTGCAAAAAAAAAATTGTAACACGGTTTGCACTCTCGAGCGCAAGCCCTTTTGTGAGAGGTCACAACACGGGCACTTGTGAAGTGTCTAGAGCAATGCCAGAGTAAGGCACAAAGACCGCTCAGTTTCGGTTTGGTTTTCGCTTGATACAGTCAATGACCCTCCTCCCACCCCGATCTCCTATTCAGGGTTACTTAACCTTAAACAATGGAGTTTCTGTGATCTTACAGTTAGGAATGTTAAAGAGGTTTTAACGAGTTATTATATACATGTAGATGTGTATGTGCATTATGTGGGATCTTAAATCTCGGATGCGGGGGGGCTGGGAAGGGTTGGGTTTGAACTCATTGAAGCTCTTTGATTATGATTTAGTAGACTGGATGGTTTAAGCCCAGGGAGGGAAAGGTGAGATTGGCCATTTGTCAAATTCTGAGTGGTAGGCCAAGGGTCAGTACAAACGGACAAATTATAATGATTGATCTGAGCCACTTTCCCGCCATGGGCTCTTGTGCTGCGGATAAGGAAATTATCCACAGCGTTTATATCAGCTTGTGAAAAGCGAGGGCGCTGCTAATTGTTGTGAGAAGCCCAATTGTAGGGATATCCGTATATAGTCCCTTGGGACTTGTGAGAAGCGTTTGCGCTTCTAATGGTAGGGATATCATATTAGTCCATGGGGACTTGTGAGAAGCGACTGGCGCTTCTGATTGTTGCGAGAAGCGACTGGCGCTTCTAATTGTTGGGATATCCGTAGTCCTTTGGGAATTGCGTTTCTGTATGGATATCCGCAGTCCGTTGGGACTTGAAAGTAGCGATTGCACTGCTAACTGTAGGGATATAGCCGTAGCCTTGTAATGATTATAACTGTTAGCATGTAAGTTGTAAATATGATTATTCAACCATGCTGGTATGTATACCTGGACCTGGTAAGGATCATAACTTATATGTAAATTGTACATGTAATTGTTAAACCATGCTTGTTGGATGGTATCAAGTGAATAAATGCTTGCCGAGTGACCACAGTGCTTTTCTCCGGTGTGACTCTTTCACAAATAATGATGTTGCCAAAAAATTATATATAAATAATAACATGACGTTGACAAATTATATGTAAATACTTAAGTTGCAAAAAAAAAATTATTTGTAAATAATTCAGTTGCATATACATTTATTTACATGTAATGCAAACTGCCAAACAATTATTTATATACAATTGTCCAAGAAGAAATTTATGATATTTAAATAACGCATTATATATAAACAAGTAAGCCTAAATAAGCAGAAAAGTTAATAATATAATAAAAATGAATTATATACAAATAATTGTGTTAAATAATTTATTAAAACTTGGCGCCCATGTGACACAGTCAATCAGAGATAAGGATCCTCATGACACAAATTATGCATTTAATGTACACAGTTCATATTCCGGCACTTTATTATTGGTTTATCCATACTGCATATTTGTATGTATGAAGCTGGTGAATTAATAATAGATAATAATGATAGATTCTGTTATCATATATTTTCACCACTCCAGGAAATCTTAGAGTAAACGAGGACAGTAGAAGGCAGAGCTTGAAGATAAAGTAAGAGGTAATACACTCACAAGTCTTCCTTTAATTACATTGGAGAAGAAGTATGGATACCAGGCAAACTAAAGTATATATGTTTGATGTGTTAAGTTGCATTTTGAGCTACTCTTTCATTTTTAAAGATCGCTTTAATGAGAGTAACACTGTAGCCCATTAGTCCCTGTTCTGCCCCAAAGTGCCCTACCTGTATTTCTTCTACCACCCAAAATCGCCCCAGCACTCAATGGTTTTCATCAAGGAGTAAATAACAGTGTAGTACAAGTGTTAAAGGGAATATACATCATTTGCTTTTGCTGTAATTTTCAGAAATGGATGGAATTGGGGGGTTGGAAATATATAGCAAATATAGTTACACTGACTTTTTTGAGGTTTTGGGTTCGAAAATGCTATAAAAACCAAGAAAAACAATCATTTTCCTGTAGTCTGGTTCCCTGACTCCATATAAGAAGAAACAGAGCAGTTTACGTACATTGGGGAATTGTAAGGTCAGGAAACCAATCTAGCTGGCTCGTACCCGTTCATGGGTTTGTAATCGATTGCAAACAAGTGCGATAGTCAATTGGGGCCAGTATTTGAAAAAAAAGCCAGTTTTTTCCAACGCTGATCGGCCGATCAGCGTTGGAAATTGATACAAAAATACCACTTTTCTTGAAAATTACAGTATACCAGGTGCCATGATTTTACAGGATGCTTTACACTGTCATTCACTAACAGTCCAGCAAGGTATTTCAAAATGATTTGGTAGTTTTATTTTTTGATGTTTGCAAATGTTGTATTTTCCCTTTAATGGTGTGAATTAGTTAAATTAAAAGTTACGGGAATTTATTGTTATTAATGAAATACATGAACAAAATTATCTTGTTTTGGCGAGCTATTTTTTCAGACAAACACAAAGTTCCTATGCATTTTGTAAACCAGTTTGACTTAAATAAGTTTAAGTATTAAAGTTATGTTCCCTGTGCTCTTCAACAAATTCAACTTTTTATAATTTTTTGTTGGGGGGGGGGTTCCAATACCTCATTTAAAAGTGAATAACATTTGTATTACTAGAACAATAGCAAAATGAAAAGGAATTTATTTTTTAGGGACGAAACTTGAAAGTAGGATGGGGAATGCATTTTTAAGTCAATGGTAAATCTCACTTCTCATTTAAATCGTTAACAAAATGCTTGTGTGTTAACACCAGGGAAGAGTCCTTATTTCAGGATGCATTGAAACATTATGCACTGATGTAACTGTAGGTCAGGTATTTGTGTCTTTCCCTTGATGCTTGGTAAATATGAGGTTTTGTCTCGCCCGCCAGCTATGTGGGTAGATACCTTGTGGGCATGTCACCCGCCAAAGAGGTCAAATTGACCATGGGACCAAGTTTTCAATTTTAGGCGTTGGGACAAAGGTAGCCTAATTGCCTCTGTGTGGATATTTGCCTGGCCTACAAACAAATGTGTTTAGTGAGTAAACACAATTCTAAACACTTTCTTGCTATCATCTCGTCCAAAAAATGTTTAGCATGTAAACATGTTTACAAATTTATTTTGTTTTTGTGTTTTGGTTTTTTTTAGGGAGTGAGATTGGTTAGAACAGGTAATAACAAAGTAACTGTCTTTCTTAAATTTCTTATATGATTAATTTACTAACCCAAAGTTTGAACTGCATCAATTTCATTATGCATTGCAAGTGCTATCACCAAATCGTGATATATTTCCTTTATCTAAACCTAGTCAGATTACACAACTGGTTAGGAGGTATGAAATGTTGTATTATATCCATTGAATGTGCAGTGTGCACTGGATAATCAAAGAACATAATGTCATTCATATTATATATAGAGCTTAAAGATGAAATGTAACTGAAGTGGGAATACATACGACTGTCAAACAAAACAAATTGCCACATTTAGTTGCCAGATGGGAAGTGACTTCCAGTAAAAAGGTAATTAAAAATACACAGTAATTAGTACTTTAAGTTTTTCTTTAAATTACATTTTGCTATGATGTCTTGATAATTTAATATATGTAAAATTTTAAAGGGGCACGTTTCATTGGCTTTTATTGTTTGTTAGGAGGAAAGGATCTATTTTAGAAGTAATGCAAATCATTGAAAATTTCTTTGTTAAATATCGTAATCCAAACACTTTGGATAAATTTAGATTTTGTATGTTTATGTGGAGTAAATGGGCTACCATGGTATTTTTTATTAGAGTATTCTTGTAATTTATATTGTCTTCCATTTTGGGGATTAATGTAAATCTTTTGGTTGTTAAGGCCCACTTGAACACTGGCAGAACTTTCATTACATGTTATGATGTATCTGTATATAAAGGACTGAATGACAGTACATAATTTCATGTTTTGTTATGATGACTTGTTTGTTTCGATTGTGTTCAGTTTGGAGCAACCAAGTTGATTATGTACATGTTATAGACTCAAGACTTTCCACTTAGTTGGTAGAGCCTCGGTTTTTTTTTTTTATCTCAGTCAAGGAGTACGGATGAGGAACTGTAGAGTCGAGTTGAGAATGGATGAGGCGAAGCTAAAAATTGTTTTAGATTATATATACACCATGACAAAAATTTATGAACTAATTTTGTGGCGGTTATCGGGTGAAAACTGAAAGTTAAATAGAAGACTAAGATGTCTTATACGATATTTACTTCTTTTGGAATAAACTTGAAGGGCTCTTTTGAATAATTTTTACAGAAAAACAAAATCTAAAATGACCGGTGAGAAGGACTGTTTTCAAGCCAGCATGACTAAATCCCGAACCCATCGACTGTAGGTACTAGCAAAGATACTATGGGTGCACACCGGTAAAAAGGCCTTAATCCCTCCACCGAGCCCATGAATAAAAGTTATACCCCTCGAAATACAAATTTTCTATAATCAAGAGTTCTACGAGCAATAAAACTGGGTAATTGAAGAGATAACGCAATGAACATCTGGCCTGGTCGCGAATTTTTTTTTTCTATCAAACGACATCCGCATATGGGTGTACGCTATGGCGTTTGGAACTTTTATAAAAACACGAGAAGAAATTAAATGAAATGACAAAAAAAAATGAATTAGAACGTTATGATATTCAGACTTTATTTCCCTTTAAAAAAAAAATCCTCCAAAGCCTCGGGTTAGAAAAGGAAAAAAATTCGGGTGCAAAACCGAGAACCGAAGCGCAACCTCGCGGTGCAAAATCCTACCCTTTATCAACTGGGCTGTCGCACTTAGGGTGACCGTAAGGTCATGACAAAATTCTGCTAAATGCGCTTCAACAATCTGTCAGATTTGTCAAAAATCTGCCAAATTCCCCAGAATAACTCGAAATACACTATAAACCTTTAAATCACATGCAGATGTTGTAATGTTGCCTTAATTAATGTTCAAATTATATTATAAACATCTATAACCACATAAAGATAATTCGAAATTGCGTAAACTTCAGGCAATTAACATGCATTGGTGTCACAACGACATCCGGTTCCCAGTGTTTGCTCGTACCCCCCGCCCTGCAAACAGAACGCTGGGATCAACCTCGTCCCCAGTGCTTACTTTTTTTCCAACCGTGTTTCCAATAGTAAACCCTGGATAGTAAACTGTGATACTGCATGTTGTCTCGATAAGATCGTAACAGTTTAATTAAATAAATCGCGTTTTCGTAACTCACGCTGTGCTCGCGCTGCGACGAATTGACTCTGTTTTTACCCCAGACACCGCATACAAAAACGAACGATAATGTAACGCACATGCAGGCACCAGACTATTCCTCATTTGCATACGTGTTCAAAAATCTTGCACATGCAAATGATCCAATACCAGGGTGAGAGAGCAGGTAGTGATTGGCGCGTACTGCTCAACACCCTGGGGTCGAGGTTGTGCTGGGATACTCTGATGAGTTTCACAGAATCTTGTGAAGGAAGTGGCCTATGACCTATGTATAAAGCATCTGGCTGCAGCTGTTCAAGACCGCAGTTAGACAATATGCGCAAATGCTAAACATTCCATACCGGATGTGATTTCTGTTTCATTGCGGACCATGGGGACAAAATTTTGAGCGTCGCATAAAGTAATCCGACCGTTCGTGATTCGAAACGGAGCCTGAGCGAGTGACAGGAATTGTAAATGAACAACACAGATAAATTTTATGGAATTTCCTACATTATTACGCTTTTCAACGACAATAAAACATCTGTAAACTGGAATAAAAGAGTAATGAATCAGTCTTAACGGCCGTTTAAAACCTTGCAGAGTCATGACCTTGATCACGCGCAGGTCACTGGTCATTCAAAATCCAACCAATCAGAGCGTGGATTCATCAGAGTATCTTGGGGCGTTTTAGAATCCCTGTTCTTGACAACACTCGGGTTAACCCGACACGAGAACAGCGGTCTCGAACGTGACGAACAGACCCGAGAGGGCGTTCGCGGATCGATTTTTTCACTCCCCGGTTGATGGAGGGTTCGGCGAGGTACAGCTTGAACAAAATGGCGGACTGTGCAGATTCGAAAGTTGTTTTGTGGTTTTTTTTTGTGTGCTTATACCCTAATGATTGGAATAAGAATACCATTATAGTGCAGTCTGCAATTTTGGTCTGTTTCACATTCATCTTCAGAGTCGTCCTCGTTCATTTGGAATAGGCCTAAGTACAAATTCAGACGATTGTCGGCCATTTTGCATTGCTTTATATCGATGCGACACGCACCCGCGCGTTCGTAACAACCAGCTCGAGAACACGTTCTCGTGCTACACGCGTGTTGTCAAGAACAGGGATTCGAAAACGCCCCCAGCGTCCTGTTTGCAGGGCGGGGGTACGAGCGAAAGTCCCAGTGAACCTTAGGCCAAGTTCGGGCAAGGACCATTGGTCGACTAGTGGTTGATTTGTGACGTACCTTACGCCTGCGCATTGATGGCAACGTGCGAACGTCTCTAGTCAATCGCTGGTCAAAATGTCATCGCAAAACGTCTGGATCCTGGCTCTCTGCTAACGTTATAAACGCGCGCGGCTATTGATTACCAGCGAAGCAACCAACCCCAGTAGGCTGGTTGCAAATAGTCGACTAGCGTAGTCAACCATCGTCGACTAGACAGAGTTCGGGCAAACGTTAGTTAACCATTGGTCAACTATAGTCCTTGCGCGAACTTGGCCTTGGCCTTTAGTCAAGTCCCACGCGCCTATACCCGGACCATCCGGACACGTAACACACTCTACTCTCTAGCCCCTGGACCATCCGGACACGTAACACATCCCTGATGCTGGCACGTAAAAAGACTAGCACGAGCGGCGAAGCCGTGAGGGCCTTTACCATCTCGTGGAGAACGCTTATGTTTTTCTTAGCATTTGTCTTCCGATTTGGCAGAGTTGCTGACTCGAG